CTCCTGGCTGCAGCCATCGTTCCTATAGCTCTGTTCTACCCTTATACCTCCATCATCATCGTACACTCATGTCTCCTGGCTAGTCATCATTCCTATAGCTCTGTTTTACCCTTATACCTCCGTCATCATCGTACACTCACGTCTCCTGGCTGCAGCCATCATTCCTATATCTCTGTTTTACCCTTATACCTCCATCATCATCGTACACTCACGTCTCCTAGCTGCAGCCATCATTCCTATAGCTCTGTTTTACCCTTATACCTCCGTCATCATTGTACACTCACGTCTCCTAGCTGCAGCCATCATTCCTATAGCTCTGTTTTACCCGTATACCTCCATCATCATTATACACTCACGTCTCCTGGCTGCAGCCATCATTCCTATAGCTCTGTTTTACCCTTTTACCTCTGTCATCATCGTACACTCACGTCTCCTGGCTGCAGCCATCATTCCTATATCTCTGTTTTACCCTTATACCTCCGTCATCATCGTACACTCACGTCTCCCGGCTGCAGCCATCGTTCCTGTAGCTGTGTTCTGCCCTTTGACCTCTCTCCGCCTGTGAGGCAGCTCTGTAGCTGTGCTCAACCCTTTATCTGTGTTTGGTTTTTAATATGAGCAAGTACAGAGAAGTGGAGTGTGCACGTATAGTATCAATAACCTCCGTTTCTGAGATAAAATGTAGCTTGGTATTCTGCACTTGGCTTTTTCCCACTAACCAGCACAGCACTGAGGTCAGTCGCAGCCTTGTGGGCTGTCCTTGCTCTGCCTGGAGGAGAAGGCCGTAAACACTAGAGCTGAAGTCAGTGACCAATGTTAATCCACGGGGAAAGCCCCGAGCGTTCAGGACCTTCAGAAAACGGCTGGAACATTCAGACCCTCTTACAGATGGCTGTGCTTGTGGAGGGCAATGGAAACAAGAGAAACTACAGTTTGCTGCTGTCAGTCTTGGGCAAAGCACAGTTGGGACACACCTTGGCAGCGAGGGTGGCGAGACTTTGTCTCCCGCAGTCTGGGTGTGGGGTCAGGAAGGAGCAGTCCCTGCGGAAGGACACCTGCCTGGTCAAGGGAGGGATCAGCCAGAAGGAGGAAGACCCTGAGCGAGATGGCCTGGGCCGTGGCCACCACAGGGGCCTGAGTGTGGCCGTGACAGTGAGGATGGTGCAGGACCTGGCAGTGGTCTGTTGTGCCTGCGTCACTGTGGCTTGGACCCAACTGCTTATGGGATGGCCCCTAATGACAGCACCTGTTAACTCGGTGCACTGTGGTTTAAAACGTTAGCAACAGCAAAATGGTTCTTTTTAAAAACTTGTCATCTGAACACAGCTGGGACCTTGTCAGTGTGTAAGTTCTGAGACGCAGTGGGTGGCTGTTGCGGACTGTCCCAGCTGGGACCTTGTCATTGTGTAAGTTCTGAGACGCAGTGAGCGGCTGTTGCGGACTGTCCCAGCTGGGACCTTGTCAGTGTGTAAGTTCTGACACGCAGTGGGCGGCTGTTGCGGACGGTCCCAGCTGGGACCTTGTCAGTGTGTAAGTTCTGA